TTAAACTAGTTTTGAATACTATATTGATGTTGAATTTTATATGGTGGTGTTATTATCATTATATTATCTATATAACATCTCTATTGCAGGCTATATTATATTCTTTCTCTCTCATATTCTCTCTCTGTCTCTCTCTCTCTCACACACTCTCTCACACTCTCTCTCTGTATATACACACTCATATCTGTCTATCTATCTATCTATCTATCTATCTATCTATCTATCTATCTATCTATCTATCTATCTATCTATCATCTATCTATCTCTCTATCTCTCTATCTATCTATCTATCTATCTATCTATCTATCTATCTATCTATCTATCTATCTATCTATCTATCTATCTATCTATCTATCTATCTGTCTGTCTATCTGTCTATCTATCTATCTATCTATCTATCTATCTATCTATCTATCTATCTATCTATCTGTCTGTCTATCTGTCTGTCTGTCTGTCTGTCTGTCTGTCTGTCTGTCTATCTAGCTCTCCATCTTTGTTCTCATGATCTTTAAAAATGTAAAAATTGGACCGTATAATAAAGGGAAAGCAGTTTGTGTCTAACAACCATGTTAACTCCCAGGATGCACCTCTCGGAGTCAATACACAGCTGTAATCTAGGCAACATATTTATAATCTACTTATAAGAAGGTCCTTTTAATCAAGGTACATTTTTATATATAGAAAGGGACACTAAAATGATAATCAAAGCGTAGCTATATTTTTCATACTTTCTGAAGAAAATGTGAGTGGTAATTTCCCCATGCAAAACCTGTCACCACAATGCTAGGGTTTTGTGGGTGGTTGCCATGGTGAATCTATGCAGTTATTAGGGTGATTATTACCACGTTTCTACGTGGATGCTAGGGTGCACTGGTGGTTGCTAGGGGTTTGCCAAAAGTGCCCACCCCCAAAATCTCCACAATAACCAGGTCTCTAGATCCGACTCAGTTCCCTCGTTCAATTTAATTCAATTTACACTTCTTCTCAATAGCTTTGATTCAATTCTCAAATGAGAGTTTTCTCTCTCTCAAAACAACAAGTTCAGATCTCTGAACAATTAGATTCTTGTTCACATCAGATTTAAATTTCTTATTGATTTAAGCAAATTGCATGTGTTTTGGCACGTGAATAAAAGAGTACAATTGTCCACAATTTGCACAATAACTAAATGTTGATCAAAACTGATGAGTTGATTCTCTGTGAAACTGTCAAACTCTTCACAAACAGCAGCAGCTACAGCAGTACTGTAAACAAATGCATATGTATGTATACTACATTTATTTGAGTAGATGTGTTTTAGTAGATGTGTTCTCTTTTTGTGTACGACAGTTTTTTTTTTTCCCAGTCAATTTTGTACCTGTCTGATTCTGTATCTAAAAAGCTCAGTGTGAGACACAAGAGCATTCAGCTGGACAAAACTCACATTCTTGTATACTATAAATCAGCGAGTGTCAACAAAAAAGTTGAAAAAAAACATGACATTTGTATATAACAAATATTTCCAAACCATTTTGACCAATGCATGTGGCTCACAGATGACAAACACACTTTTTATTTTGGTGGCATTGGCCAATTTACTGACACATTAACTCGGTTTTGAAGCACGAACTGTGAGTTTTTATCATAAACCAGGTAAAATTTGAAATCTGATCTCTTAAGTACGGAGCCCCCCTAGTCCCACTTTGTCAAAAAAAATTCTTATAACTATCTCGTGGCCTCACGATAAGTAACTCGTGGCCTCAAGATAGTATCTCGTGGCCTCAAGATAGTATCTTGAGGCCACGAGTTACTTATCGTGAGGCCACGAGATAGTTATAAGAATTTTTTTTTGACAAAGTGGGACTAGGGGGGCTCCGTACTTAAAGAAGTAATTGCATATTTTGTCAATAATCCGGCACATCAGAGGTTGAAATCCCGTCGTCACTCCCAACGATTATCATTATCTGAAAGATGAATTGACAGAAGATGTTGAGCAGGTGGAGGGATAATAGAGGTCACTTTGCACATTTATCCAGCACAGAACAAATGATGTAGTAATTAATCTCTTCTGGGATTGGATAGGCCTTTGGAATAGATTAGTGGGACGATTAAAATGCTCCGTCTTTAGTGGTACATGAGGGACGGTCGTGTAAAAACGTGTGTTGGATTTCATTAACAAACTTTAACTTGAAGGGTACAACACCTCGTACTGAATCCCAGCATACGGCCCAACACATGTACTGTATTCCTCATTACGGAAGGTTGAACATTATACTTGACAAATTGGAGCTTCAGAGAACTTTTGCCCAGCTGAATTTCACAAAAACTTGTGCAGGTTTGGTTTTAAGACTTTTAAAATGTCATATTTTACTGTAATAAAGTTGTTTATTTTCAAGTATATATTCTCACTAAAAGTTTCATTACTGTAATCCGTTTGCACATTTTACTTCAGAGTAATTATTATTTAGTGTTATTATTTCTTATTTTCACAGACTCGCCTCTGTAATACAGTATTTTTACTAAATATTTTTTCTTTTGATTTTGTGGTGAATATTCAGACATGTTCTTGAAAGGATTTGTGAAATTTATACACATAAAATACAAGATGCAAACAATACAAATATGTGCTGGAATGATAAGAAAATAAGTCTATAATTTGTACATTTATGGATATAGCTCTGTTGGACCAATATTAGCAACATGAGTTGTTTAACAGGAACACTTTGGGTTAATATTTAAATGATTCTCCACCATTAACCCCACAGACTTTAAAAGGTCAAACTGCGGCCAATTAAAAGCCTCGACATGCCAAATACCCTCCTGGAATTTTGATACCATGATTATTTTTATTATATACTTAATTAGCTGTTTATTTAAACAGCACAGAAACTGGTTGCCTATAGTAGTGCCAATTACACGTTTATGCAAATTTATGCAAAACTTGACCAATCAGAATCAAGTATTCCAGAGAGTCATCAAAATTAAATGGATATATGAATATGGAAAAGTCCATGCAGTCCACAGAATAGCAAACTGATATCCCTCCATCTGCCATTGGTCGAAAAAAAAAACAGATAGCCCCGCCTCAAGCTCCCGCCATTGGTCAGCATGTTCAAACATGCTGTTCAAACTTTGCATATAAAATCAATTATTTTGATGACAACTTCTCACTTGAAGCTTCCTATGAATTTGTTCTTCTGCTTTTTCTTCAAATCCCACATCCAAAGAAGAGCTCAAATTCAATTTTTTACCATTTCTCACTGGAATGCAATAAATCTCAATTTGAGTCCTACACATGAATCTTCACCGTGGAAGTCAGGGTCAAGGTCTCTGGTGGGTTTAATGCTTGCTCATATCTTGATAGGTCAGCCCAATTATTTAATTGGATAGTACTGAGCACTGTCATTTCATTGGTGCCCTTCTTCTAACCTCATCCCAAGAGTCAATAATGAACCGCTAGCAACAAAGCCTGCAAAGACCTTCTGAATGGTGGGAGCCAGACAACACTTATTCCCACTTCATTCGTTTTGCTCCATATAGACAGTTTCTTTGTCGCGGTTTCCTTCTTTGAAACCGTGGCCTTTAGAATAGAGATTATTTCTGTCAATAATAAACCAAGAGGCCTCAAACACCGGTTCCTGTTATTGTGCGAAGAGAGATACTGAATGGCTGAATAAAACAGCTCATTGCTTTACTTTTATGGGCTACATTTTGAAGGGTTCGATTATGACTGAAATATGACTGGAAATCCGGGGTTGGGCAAAATTTATAATTGATGAATTTGCTTCCTTTGGAATTTGAATCGAGTTGGACAACAAAGCATGTTGAGTTTTCTGAACAGCAACAGAACCGTCACGTAACACATGAATTTCATTAGTCCAGGAAATAATTATGGCTCTTTATTCTGTATAGAATAAATTTTTCTCAATACAAGTTAATATATATCTTTTTCTATTAATTTAAATTTAATTTAATACTGTTAAACTGTTAACACAACCATCAAAACAGACTTTAATTTGGCCATACAGAATCACAAACAGTCCACATTATTTTCATATCTTTATAAAAAAAATATTAATATCAAAATTTGAAATGACAGATAATATAAAATATTGAAATCAAATAACCTATTATTTATGTTTTTCAACTAAATTAAATTACAGCAAAACAATTATATTAAATACCTTTCAAAATATATAAACCCAAGGTCAAGGTCAAAGTTAGGATCAAACATCCAGTAATTCCAGGATGTTCATTCAAAGTCATCTGGTCTTTTTTCTGGTTTAGTTGGATGTTCGACTAACATTTTTTAAATGTTACTACTTGTTTGAGAATGTTTAGAGAATGTTCAAAAGTAACGTCCTAGTTTGCAAAATGATAGCCAGAAATGGGATCTTCCCTTAACGGTCATTTAACCAAGAAAAAAGCTTATAATGACTTCAGTAAATGTCATGTTTTTCACTTTAGAATACTGATCCGAATTAGATCCTTAGAAGGATGTAGTAACACCCGAGTCATTACTAGTGGGTTACCCTTACCTTTTACCATAAATTATTCATTATTCATGTTAATTATGGGAGGTATGAAAAAACTGATTAGCTAATAGTGAACTACCACATTCAACTGAGCGCTATTACTTACCAATTTGTTAATCAGAGTTTCTTGTTAGTTAATAGTAGTTACTAGAATGTTAATAGTGCGTTACTCATTTGTACTCATTCGTTACTCAATGGAACCTTCCATCCAATTCTTTACAGCACAATAAAAAGGTTCTTTAGACAGTTCAAATGTTCTTTACACTATGCAAGGTTATTTTTGAGAATCAAAAATGGTTCTTCTATGGCTTATCTGTGAAAACCCCCTATTGGAGCCTTATTTTTAAGAGTGTAGGCTACGTATGCGTTTATAAATGCGGGTGCATCAGTCAAATGCAGGGACGGGACGTTTTTTTTTTTGACAGCACGTACCCTTGTGTAAGTTATAAATGAGAATATCAAACCCTGGATTGTCATCTGAACATATATACTGTACGTCTGAATGAGGTTGCCGGAGCGTTTGGATCCTCAAAGGCGATACGTCATTGCGAGCCTCAGCGATTGGCTGGATTCAGCTCCTTTTCCTCCACAATTTGTGCAACCACGAACGGTCTTCGCCTCCGGAGCAGAGACATCCCTACAGTAGAGGCAGGTAAACTATCGGTTTCAATGTAGATCTTCGCATGTTCGTGTGTCTGGTGAAGCTATAGTTATTTCTTTTTCCTGCGTATGGGCTACTTTATGGTTTTCTTCAGACAGCATCTAATTGATGATGAACAGCCCTGCTTCTGCTGGCTGATCTGAAGGAATGCCGCATCTGACAAATGAATGCTGAAACAGATCTATGCCTTTTGTAATTGTAAAAGAATAGCTTTGCGAAAAGGGAATATAGCGGCATTATTTGCGCGCATACGCCGCAAAGTTATAGCGACCAGCGCGCGCGCCCAGTGGGCTACGATTGTGATCGCTTTTGTTCTTAAACATATTCTGTATGCGTCAAAGGTGTGGATTTGAAAGTGTTTTAAAGGAGGATTTCCAACGTGACTAGAATTGTAACGCTAAAACTCCCACATGCTCATTTCTAACCCTGGATTCCTCATTGGATTTATTTTAGGTGGACTCGTTTCCCCCCCCAAGAGAAATGAATGCAATATAGCGCGCGCATTCGCAGGGGTGGACATTTCTTTTCGCTCTCATCTCGTCAATTCTTCCCTGTAATACAGACACACAGCCCGAACCGGACTAAATGAGTGCCCGGACCTTGGAGAGACTGGCGCTTTCCATTCCCCACTGTGCCTTAAACGGAACCGCTCGGACCAACAATGGCACCTGCTTTGACCGGGTGGATCAGTTGTTCCAGGCGTTCTCATCCACCGTCGTGCTTTTCGTGCTCATCGCGATGATCATTGGGATAATAGCCGTGTCCATCACGACCTTCCACTTTCACAAAAGCAAGATGAAAAAGCGCAAGATACAGAAAGCCCAGGAGGAATACGAGCGCGACAGCCGCAGTCCCAAAGCGGGCAAAGGCAAGCCGGTGGTCCGGCAGTGCATCATGGTGAGACCCCCCACGGCAGTGCGGAAAACTGACCCAAACACGGAGGATCCTGGCGTGACAGAGGACATGGGACACTCGGGACAGGCGAAGGATGAGAACTTGTTGGAATCGGTCGCTGTGTCTTGATAACGCAGTGCCAGCTTCGGGAGGACACTGTAAATATCCTATGTATTCATATGATATACCCACGGAATATATCGATTCTTTGTATAAGCATTCCAGTTGATAAGTTTTCATCATATAAATCCCGGAGGAGAGAAATCCATGAACAGTCTCAATGGAGAAAAGACTATGCGGATTGTGGAATTTCCTATCATATAATTTGGAGCCAGTCCTAATGGGATCAGACGAGAGTATTGAAAAAGATCCCATTGGATGAAATGAAATGAAAAGGCATTAATGGGTTAATCCAACAGGATTTTAGTGAATGCGAATGGAATTTCTATCATAATTAGGAGTTAATTACAATGACATCAAACATAATACCTTCTAAGAATCAAAAAAAGCTCCTACTGGATAAAATGAAATTCTGGACAAAAAAAATGTATTATTCAATGAAATCTTACTGGATTAAATGAATAGGCCTAATTAATTTGATAAAATAAGAATCTTCAAAAAAAAAAGAAGAAAAAAAAAGATCCTATTGGATGGAATGAAATGAAAAGGCATTAAGGGGTTAATTCAACAGGAATTTATTGAATGCAAATAGAATCATAATTAGGAGTTAATCCTAATTTGATCAAACATACCCAAGAATAAAAAAGCTCCTATTGGATCATTTATTTTTATTTTTATTAATCAATAAAATCTTACTGGATTAAATGAATAGGATTAATGAATTAGATAAAATAAGAATCTTCAAAAAAAAAAAAAAAAAAAAAAAAAACTTAGATAATCTAAAATGATTTTACTGAATATTAATGGAATTTCTATCACAGATCCAATCCAAACTGGGTTAAAAAGCAATCCTCAACAAATCAAATAAGATTATATTTGATAAAAATGAAATTCTGGGGGAAAAGACATTGATCAGTCTTACTGAATACTGATGGATTTCTAATACAACTCAGAGCCATTCCTGTGTGGATCAAACAAAACTCCTCTGAGAATCAAATTCAGAAGGATTTTACTCAACGCTGATGATTCGGAACCAAATCCAAACCGGATCAAATGTGAATCATCTAAGACGGTTGGATGACCTGAGGTGCCTATTCTTTTCCCCAAGCCTCTTTTAGATAACGTTTTCCAGAATTTGAGTTAATCAAATTTAGTTTGATCCCATTAGGATTGTCTACAAATTCTGATAGACATGCCTATTCCTTTAATATATGCAGACCCAGCATCTGTACATGCGGATTGTCTCGTCCACTCTTCATATTGTCGTGCCACCAAGAGGAATCAATGGACAAATTATGGACCCATTGACAGTACTTCCAAAGTTTATTGTGAAAGAATAGAGTTAAAGGGACGGCTCTCTTGTATAAAGTCTGTACAGACGCTAAAATAAGGACAGAGACAACAACGGTCTTATTCGTGTAGACTTTCAACACAACTCGCAACAATTTTTCTTTGTTTTGGGGTTTCCGAAACCCTTTTAGGCAACATTGTTGTTTCTTTTGACAAATGGACTTTCTTAATTGGGATTTTTCCTTTGTCTCAGTGGCTTTTTTTCAAGATAGAAGTGCAATTCGTGCCATTCTGGCTTGGCATGAATAGGTTTAGTGTTTTAACCCCTTTATCCCCGTCGAGACTGTTAATGTGCAATTGCTGCTGCTAGTGGTAGTGTAGCCTGTACTTGTTTTGTTCATGGCACTATATAATCATAGTAAAACTTATGTAACCTGAGGCATTTCAGTTTTGTGTTACAGCTCTGTATTAATGCTCTCTTTTGCATTTTTGCTCTAGATGAATATAGCACTAATGGTCGAGTATTATCTTTTCTATCATTCCTAACTAGTGTAACAATCAATAAGAAACAATAGAACATTTTAAAAGTCATTTTTCTGTATTTCCTTGACGTTGTGTTGAACCGGAAATGGGAGTCGTAGACCGAAATCAAGTATTGTAACAGATCGCAGTTTGAATCTTTGTTTTTTCATTTTGTTCAATGCATACGATTTTGAATTACTAATAAAGTATTGTGCAAATGGGTGTCTCATTTTTTTTAATTCATTAGCACGAATCATCTTAGAATTATTAGAATTATTGCCCAAAGGCATCATAACTGAAGAAGTGCTAATTACAAAATTACATTTAAACTTAATACATTAAGGCTCTAATATGTATTAATATTCGATTTACTTTCTTTTAAATCAATAATTAAATAAAATGGAGTGATTAAAGTGTACCTTTAAAGGTTTCCAATCTTGTTTAGGAGGTCTCTAGTCAAAAAATTATGGTAAAAAAAACACTTTAATTTTCTCATAATAAACATTGCACATCACCTCTTTTCTCACAGTGTCTGAAAGGGTTCGATAAAAGATTCAGTCTCTCTAAATCCCTCCTTTATGAGAGACAAATCTGCTCTGATTGGTCAGATGTCTCAGTCTGTTGTGATTGGTCGACGGCTTACAGTGAGTGTCGGAAATGAAACGGCTAGTATCTATCTATCTATCTATCTATCTATCTATCTATCTATCTATCTATCTATCTATCTATCTATCTATCTATCTATCTATCTATCTATCTATCTATCTATCTATCTATCTATCTATCTATCTATCTATCTATCTATCTATCTGTAAGGCCTATAAATCTTCAATTCTTCAAAATATTTTTTCCAATACTTTTTTTCAAACATTTCAAACAAGCAAATAAGATTTTCTTGTCAATCTATCTTTTCTATTTAAAAAAGACAGTTTCTAAAATTTCTGTGATTTTTAAATCATTTTAGTTCAACTTCCTTGCATTCAAATTCGAATAGCAATTCTGCATTGTGTTTTTAGGGAAGCTTGTTTTCGCCACAGAACAAAAATAAATAAATAATTGTATAAAAGTAATTGTGACTTTTTATCTCACGATTTTCTCACAACTTTATTTCTCGCAAGTGTGAGTTTATATCTCACTTTATATCTCACAATTCAGCCTTCTTTCTTGCAATTTCAAATGTATATCTCACTTTATAACTGCACAACTGTCTTTTTTCGTCAGAATTGCGAGTCTATTTTAACGATCTAAGCTCATGGTCTATAGCGCACATAGGGAGTGTCCGAATCCACTTTTGCTAGTTTGACGACGGGACAAATGGTTGGCGCTCCCGGCGCATGGTCTAAAAGGGTTGTCCCTATTCTCTTAATGAGTAATGGGTGTGTTTTGGGCTTTACGTGCAATAAACCAATCAGAGTCTCATCTGCCATTCCCTTTAAAAGCCAGTTGCACTCGCACGCGCCAGTTGTAAACGGCTCTTTTGTGTGCGAGGTTAAAACGCGCAAGCAGACCATCTATGGGACAAAGTGTATGCGCGTTATACACCCGCCTATAGGCACACATTACTAACACGCTCTTTAAAGAACAAAAATAAAAATTGCGTTTGCCAATATAATCCATTGACTTTAGACAAGGTTTCAGTTGGTCAATGGCGCAGTCTATTTCAGTTTCCTCAAAATAGCAACGCGCTAAAAATGCGCCTCATTTTCAGACCAGCAGCACATGGGCGCTCAAATGGGCGCAAATGCATTTGCTATTTAAACAACGTGGCGCAGGACGTGAAAATGATAAGTGCGTCGGGCTGAAACTAGTATAAAACACTTGCTAGATATAAACTCGGATTTTCAAGAAAAATGTCAGAATTGCAAGAAAAAAGCCTGAATTGTAATATATCTTTTTTTAATTGCAAGTGTATATCTTACAATTCAGACTTTTTATCTCGCAATTCTAACTTTTTTCTTAAAAACTCCAAGTTTATATCTCAATTCAGACTTTATTTCTCGTGATTCCAAGTTTACAACTCGTAATTCTGACATTTTTCTCATTGCGAGAAAAGAAGTCCAAATTGTGGAAAGTCGTAATTACCCTTTTAATTTATTATTTATTCCTTAGGGAGGAAACAAGCTTCCGTATGCTTGTTACCCAATTCAAATCCAGCAATTGAACTGAAATCTAAAGGGCATTCTCAATTCAGTTCTGATCCAGAAACACAATGCTGGCGTGTTCCTGTCAGCTGTCTAAACTACACTTGGGAGCCTGAATTCAATCACCCTTCACAAATCAAATAATTATCACCCCTCTATTTATGTTAAAAGGCTAATTGCTTGACTGCTGCAATAACCACTTTGTGTGGGACATGAACAAAAGTGACAGAGGAGCACCGCTGGGTAGAGAACAATATCTCCTCTCATTTCTTCTTCAGTTGAACGTTAGAGCACAGCGGTTAGTGTGATACCACTGACAAAAGGAAAGAAAGAACAAACAGAAGATGTGGGAGATCTTTGCGCCTCCCCTCCAGCCAATCAGAGAGCGTTTCGAGTAAATACACCTGTGTGTTCGACACTGTTCGGTGTGCCAAACTTGTGCCCACTACACAGCCCACTCTCCTCTCTATGTCTCATTGTGTGTGGGCCGCGGCAGCCATTGGCAGCACATTGTACACGTAACGGCTCTCTCTGCCCACATCACATTAGTGTGTGAATTCATTATTCGGTATGAATAAGAAGATTGAGATTGGATGACTGTAATTAATCTGAAAGTAAAAAAAACCCACCAAAGTTTCCATCCATACGTCTTCTGTACGTTAGCTATTTCATCCCACATAATGGAACTGTTTGCTGATTTATCACAGCCAAACCACATCATAACACAAGGAGCACATCTGCATCAAAATGTCAAGGTCAGTGAAGGTTTTTCCTGAACGAATCTATCTCCACAGTTGGCCTTGCGTGCAGTAACAGTGTGGAGAATGGAATGAATGCCAATAGAGATGCAGCTCTCAACATTAAGGAGTTTTTTGCTGGCCTCGCCAGGACAGTAGATTACCCCACTAATTAAGCATGTAAGCAAGTAAATAAATCATAAATCAATATATATTTTAGATAGATCAATAGATTGGTTGATTCATTCATATGAATTCTTACAATCTGCATGATCGAAAATCCCATCATATGTATTCATTTGAAATCTCCATCCTGTAAATTAGTGACATTGTCCTGTGGGATGGGACATTACTAAACTAAACTAAACAACGCATAAAAACCTTTATGTGCTTGAAATTGCACAGACATAAAACACATTGAGTAGGCTAATCTTTTTTTTTAGCTTGAAGTACATAAAAGTGATATTTTAACTAAAAGTGATATTTAAAAGCTAATCAACCTCACAATCTTTTTAAAATGTAAACTAGC